GAAAGAGAATGGGCAGAAAGACTGGTTGAGTTGCAGCGACTTGAGGAAGAGAAGAAAAAATCTACAGCTTGAATTCTTTTGGGACCGTATCTGCAATTGGTAATACCAGTTTTGTACTCTATGATTTTGTTGTTCACAAGTTCTATTTAAATATCCATCGTGGAACTTCCTTGGTTTATAAGGATCACCCCTCTGTAGGGATTGTTAATAAATGACAGTAGAAATTTTATCCTAACTCTACCTCTATCTTTATGCATGGTGCTCGCCATATGACTGCTTTGCGTAGGATGAAGTTTTCAATTGTTCTTGGATGATAATAAATTGTGTGAAAAGGAGCAAACAGCAACTGTTACTCTGAGTGATAAATGTATGTGGTTAGTCCAGGCCATTCTATTGTTGCTAACATGGGCATTGTTGGCTGCACTAGTTTTGTATAAAAGTTAATTAGAAAAGATCTAATGTATAGATGATACCTTGGGTGACAGCTACTCTCTGAAATATTCTAGCAACTTGTAAAGAACCAAGAATTTAAAAGAGAAAGATAAAAAATATTTTATTGAATAGACTGAACTGTTTTCAGGTGGGATGGTGAATGGGAAAGTAAAAGGGGACTATGTGCATGATTATATTTCAGGTTTAATTTCTGATTTATTTATTTATTTTTTGTATATTGGAAGAGCATATTTACTCTATTGTATTTTGTTGATTACACTGCTTGGAATAGAAATGATGTAATTCCTGGATATGACTCCACGGTTTATTGCAGTTTGTCAGTGACCAATGCTGGAGATGTACACTTGATCTTGAATAATTGTAATATATGTTCGAATATGATTGAATATGTGAACTGGTGTGATTTCTTGTGTATAGATTTAAGCCTAGACCCTGCTATATTGTGTTCTGGCTTATGAGACTACAGTTAGCTGTCTATGTCAGTTGTTTAGACTAGTGCTGACTCAGCACTGTTAGACTACTCTCTCAGTCTCCCCCTATAAATACTTCATTATTGTCTCAGATAGTTAGCAATAATGAAAATCATTCTTTCATTTTCAAGTATTTGATTCTCTCATTATAATTATAATAATATAAATTTCAAGAAAGTAAAGGATGGAGCAACAAGTGAAACATGCATTGCTTATCCTACCATGTATTTTATGTAGTTTAAGAATTTTAGTCGAAAATTTTCGTGTGCCCTACTATATTTATTTCAGGTTGAAGGAATATAGCATAATTATGACTCTTTTTCCTTTCTCCCTTTTTATGGGCCATAGAATTTTTTCTTATATAAATTCCTCAAAACTGTGTTATATATATATATATATATATGTATGTATGTATGTATTCTGTCTTTTATTTGGGGACAAAAGAGGGGCTGTAGGATATTCTTCAAATAGTACAATGTCTTGTAGACACTTATCCCTCTTGCTTTTTTTTATATTACTTGTTTAAGTATTTCCCCTTTATACGTCTTTTAAGATTCTATTAGAAGGGGATTGAATGAACTACCATGGACATAAGTCGCCTAAGTGTGCAGTATAGTAACTAGGTGATGATTGTTTCTTGTAATTATTTTGGGGAGGCTATATAAATTGGTGTATACAAACTTTGCATTTATTAGGTATGTTTAGATAAATTTCTTCATATGCATTTCTAATTGAAATAAGTTTTTCCTCAAGTTAAAACTAACTTATATATTAATTAAAAATAAGATTTTGAAGAAGTTAATAGGGGAGAGCTTCTACAAATTAACTTATACATAAGCGAATTTTATATTATAGATAAGCTTATTCAATTTTTCTTCCTATTTTTTTTTTCTCTTGTAGAAGTACTTTTGGTGTTTACTCAAACATATCCATCTTTCTCCCAGTTTTGGTTCTGGTATCTTGGAGGATTCATGCTATATTTATCCTTCCTCTTGGTTTCTTTAGAATTGTGGGTATTCTTTATAGATAAAATGTTTGTTTATCTAGTACTTAAATGTAATAAGTTTACTGGTTGGAGATGAAATATTATATAAAGCTCATGCCTCAGTTATTTTTTCCTGTGGAGCTTAGTAATTCTGAAGTGCAAAGTCATTTGTTCTAGTTTTTTGTGGATCTTATCAAAAGACTGATTGAACTGACATGCAGCGTTGTCATATATAACTGTATCTTCTGATGTGTGGATTCTGCTAGCACTGAGGATGGCAGTCATTTGATATATTTTTTATTTGGGAACTTAAAATATCTGGTATGAACAGTGTTATGGATGTGTTGTGGGTATTGCTTGAGGAATTATAACAGTTTTTGTCAACATTATTTAATTTAGGGCGTATGGATAGATGCATCATTTGTCTATAAATTTTTTGTTTCGAGTAGAAAATTCTCATCTTCAGCCTTTTGTGCGTATTCAGTTTCAAGTTTGTTGTAACTTTGTGCTGTTTACAGTGTTGTTTCTATACTAATGCTTATAGAAATTATATTAACGTGTGTTATCACTGATTTCTGAATATCCACTTGCTGCTAATTCTGCCTAGGGATGATCTGTGAAGCTTTGGAGTAGAAATGGAAAATCTTTTGAGTTAATATTATATACTCAATTATATGGTTAACCAAAGAAGAATCTTCCTTTGGAGGATGTTAGTTTTGTTTTATAGGGTTTATCTAGAACTTGTAAACAAATTTCTTTTGCATTGAAGCAGAATGCCCGTAAAAGTGAAATTTATTCAAGTGAAACAGTTGATGGTTTTTTATTAGTAGTTCTTTATGGGGCTCTTCTAAGTATATAATGTTGCTTCGATAGTCTCTGGCTTGTTTGTTTTATAACAGTTTTCAAAGCTGTTCTTGGCATTATGTGTGAAGAAGCAATGTGGGAAAGATAAGTATTTTGCGTGAGTGTTTGTAGTAATTCGTCTTTAAAGAAATCGTTTTTAAGTGTTTCTTTAAATGAGCTCAAAGCCTGTCGGGGAAATATGTTACACCACTCCCAGTGATGTTAAGCAAGTGATAGAGATATCAAGTTGATTTATGTTATTATTCTGGTCTCAAGGACACCTCTGGGCATTTGGATTTCCAGAACTTGATGCCATACCCTCTAGAACTGAATAATGGTATCTGACTATAATCCTGCAGTATACCAAATTTTAGCTTCTCAATTTCATCTGAAACATTCAAAAATGCATGGTTCAGCACATGCTATGTTTGACAATACTACTTTTCATAATGCAGACATTGTCTTCTAGAAAATCCAATATGTATCCATCTATAACGTGTCTTATCAACCGACACCTATCTCAAAGTATGGTCCCAAGATCCTAATTTATATAAAATCCTATCATAAAACTAATTATATAATTAGTATTTTCAAATTATAGCAATACTAATTACATGTTAATAATAATATTATTATTTTAATCTTTTATTTCTAAAGGGAGAGGGTTTATGCGGCCCCATGAATTATTTATAGAAAGAGGGAAGGCCCTTGGATAAGGGCTGCCCAAGAATGTTCATTGGTGAAAGGCTGGTGATAAACACACCTCCATTCTTATATAAATACATCCTGTTTTTTTTTAAAATATATGAAATCCTTAAATTACCCTTATTTGTACTTCTCTTATTTTTTACTCCGTGCACCTCTCTTCTTCTTCCTCCTCCGCACACACACCTCGCACACCTCTCTTCTTCCTCTGCACGCACACCTCTCTCCTTTTTTCCTCCGTACACCTCTCTTGATTTATATATAAGTATAAGGTAGCAGTTTGATAGTATAACAATGGATGGCTTGTGCGGGCGTCTTTCGCTTCCCCCGAAAAGAAACATTGCCTTGAAGGACGTGGCATGGCCTTGACAGAGACTGTTGACTCCCATCGCCATTGCGAAACCAATCATCCTTACACAGTTACAGCACTTTGATCCTCGTATCTCTCGAAAAACCAGCGGCAAAATCTTTACCAGCTAAGAAAATTTATTCTCCAATTAAATATAAATAAAAAAAAAAAGAAAAAAGAGACAAGAAGGTGCTGCTAATTAACAGATTTAAAAATGTCCAAACCACCCTTACCTGCTAAGAGAGTTCCCGCAGTCCACAGTATAAATTGGCGCAATCTGAATTCGGAAAGCGTCATCAGAATGTTAGTGAGTTCTCTTGAGTCGTTCGAAGGGTTCCACGAGGGATGGGTTCGGCGTCAAGAGAAGTTGTTGCCGCGGCTTCTCAGCGCTGAGAGCGAGGAGCAACAGAAAAGCGTAATCGAGCAAGTTCTGTGTGACTACCAGCAGTTTCTGGAAGAGAAAGCGAGGTTGGCAAACGCTGACGTCTTCCTCCTCTTCTCGGCGCCATGGCTGTCGGCGTACGAGAGGGCGCTCCTCTGGATCGGGGACTACAAGGCGTCGTTGATAGTCCGTCTACTAGAGGGCAGCGTGGAGGGGTTGACGGGGGAGTAGAGGGAGGGGGTGGAGCGTGTGAGGGAGGAGACGAAGAGAGCGGAGAGGGAGGTGTCTGAGGCAATGGCGTCAGTTCAGGAGAGCATGGGCAGCCCGTGCATGGTGGGGCAAGAGCAGGATCAGGAAGCGGCCATTCAAAGGGGGAAGAAGAAGAGAGGTGTAAAAAAAGAAGAGAGGTGCACGGAGCAAAAAGAAGAAAAGAGGTGTGCGGAAGAAAAAGAAGAGAGGTGCACGGAGGAAAAAAGAAGAGAGGTGCAAATAAGGGTAATTTAGGAATTTTATATATTTTAAAAAAAAAGGGGGTGTATTTATATAAAAATGGAGGTTTGTTTATCACCTGGTGAAAATGGGGCAATCGAATTGGGCTTAACTACCATGCGCCAATCATATATGTGGACAAAAGAAAAGTAACCAGAAATTTATTCTTTTAAAAAAGATGTAATTGGTACTTGATATTTGTGGGGTAAAGATAGATACTAAAAAGGGTGTTAAATAGTGTTAATAAGAAGCTTGCACTTTTTCAAGTAGTGAGATGGTAACTAACACTTAAGAGATTTGAAGACAGAGAAGGTGGAATACACGATATTTTTATACTAATTTGTTTTAACCATTAATATTATGTTCAATTCTTAAACTAACTAGGTTAATTTTTACTATATTAAACAAAATATAAATATTCTTTTAATAAGTCATTTTTGGTTCAAGTTTAAGTGTTTTTTGAATTATTTTTTCAAGTAATTTATTCAAGTATTTTTCATACAAAGCCTCTCTAGATTTTAACATCAAATATTCTTTTATAGTCAAATCTTTCCAAGCTTAAACAATAAGTATTTTTCTATAGATAATCATTTCTAGACTCAAATAACAAGTATTTTTTTACAGATAAGTCTCTTTAAGCTCAAATCCAATAATTTAGAGTTACTAGGGTTTACAAAGTTGTTTCGTCTTCTTATCAAGATGCGATACAAAAAATTAAGTACAAAGAGCTTTAAGAAAGCATATGTTTAGTACAATTGCTTTTAAAAAGGTTCTCCTCTCTCTCTCTCTCTCTCTCTTCTTTTTGATCGTGAAACTTCTTAAATAGTAGTCTGAATGAAAATGATTGTTGCAAAACCTTGAGTGTTTCTCACAACCTTGTTTCATTTGTCTTCATTACAGGTTCCTGGAGGTGAGAAGTTTTCATTGATGCATTAAATGCTTCCATTAAATATGTTTCACCAAATTGTCACTTCTTATTTGATCAAAGACTCTACTTATCATCTTCAAGATACCAAATGGACTATTTGTAGCATGTGTCAATGAGAAGTAGATTCAATATCAACTTTTTCCAACTTTTTCCATAATTTCATAGATCCATTTATCTTTGGTCATGGCGCAAAGCATGATTTCATACTGAAGTTAGATGAAAGAACACATAGAAGGGGGGTTGAATATGTGTATGTTTGAACAAAGGTATTTTAACAAACTTTTTCGCAGGAAGACTCTTTTTCATCCAATTAAAAATATTACTTTGAATGCTTAACTGAAACTGTGCAGAATTGGTTCAGTAAATAAATTTTTGTGTCTGAGATTTTATCGTCTGCACACAAGAAACGTTTCTTAGACGAAAACTTATTTCTTAAAGGTAAAATTGTTTCTTCAGATAATAGTTTAAACAATAGTGTTTTTCTTCTAAGGGTAGTTTCATTGAAGAATAAATAGTGGACGAAGTTTTCAATATGATTTAGCAAGTAGGTAAAATTTCGTCTAAAATATAAATAGATAGTGCAAGGATTTTATACTAGTTCGCTCAGGCTGAACTACGTCCAGTCTCCTTCAACAGAAGGGTTTCACTAGATATTCAATGAAGTACAAGAATTATTTATTTAGCTTCTTTAGGCTTGCAGTAAGTATTATAGAGACCACCTAGGTCACATCACTCCTGGTCAGCCAACTTCACTCATTGGTCTAGTATTCTTTAATCAGCCTCTTCAGGCTAGCAGTGAATATTCTAGACCACTCAGGTCAGGACCACTCTTGGTCCCAAGTATTCTCAACCAATCTTAGTTCGTCAACTTCACTCGTCGACGCTAGTATTCTTTGCTCAGCCACTTCTGGCCCTCAATGAGTATTATCGACCAACTCCTGGCCCGCTAACCTCACTATTAGCGCTAGTATTCTTTGTTCAGCCATTTCTGGCTCTTAGTGAGTATTTTCGACCAACTCTTGGCCTGCTAACTTCACCATTAGTGCTAGTATTCTTTGTTCAGCCACTTCTGGCTCTTAGTGAGTATTTTCGACCAACTCTTGGCCTGCTAACTTCACCATTAACGCTAGTATTCTTTAATCAGTCACTTTTGGCTCGTAGTGAGTATTCTTTGACAAGCCTCTCCAGGCTTTTACAAGTATTCTTTCCCCA